TCATCGTTAGCACCGCATTTATTATAAAAATGAGTCAGGGAATCTAAATCCAAAAACATTTATAAAATGAAAATTCAGTTTAACCCGGGTTTTCCCTAAAAGCGTTACGAAAATAAAATACAAAATATCTCGCTGTACTACCTATATTTCTTATAATCATATCAAGTATAAATATTATTCGCATAATAATACCTGTTGTTTCTTGAATGTGTTTTGAAAATTTCTAAACGCAAAAATAGCTGCTTTATTGTATTGCTGGTTGACTGGCTTTTCTGCTTCTTTTATATTAGTTATGGACTGCGGACAGTCCTTTTTCATGGAGAGAAGTGTTACATGTAGACTTTGTTCTGATGCTCGGCTCGCTACTTCTCCCTTGCCCAATGCCTGAATCACTTAGTATGTGCCGATTCTCCTGTAATGCGCTTTCTGATTGTCAAGGGCGATATGCCCGTTCATGCTGTTATCTGATATACCGTTCCACTTGTTGCTCTGATATACCGCTGTTTTTGTGCTTTTCTGACACAGTCGCCTCGGATTACAGTCCGATTTCCTTCAATAACAATCCCTGACTCGCATTTGCCGTCTCGTTCGTTGCCGTTAATGCATATTTCCGTAAACACTGCATATTAGACTACGAAACCGGCCGGTCTTACACCGCCGTGACCTTTCCTTTTATTTCGCTCTGCCAATTATTCATGTAACATAAGCATGCACGCAGTAGACCATCAGACTGCAAATAACTGTCAAAATTGATTACACAGTACAGTCATAGTGTACAGTAATAAAGAAAATAATATGTCATCGTACCTGTTAGTTTTCATGATTATATATGTATAAATAAATTGAGAATAGAGCAGCTAGTAATATCCGCTGAAAAGCAATTATATTTCACTTACTGTGCGTTGAAAGGCTTTAACGAGCCAGATGCGTTGAAGTGCTCCTCCATAGTGTAAAAGAATGTAAACAACTTGTTGAATCAAGCAGCGAAAGTGAACCAGTATAAATGTGCAGTGTACAGTAGTATCTATACAGTACATTGGGCTCATGTCGTGCACAATCCAGACAAGCAATTAAACTACACGGTAAGTTGACAAATAATTATGTTTATTATAAATACACATCATTACTACAAGTGTTTTAAATAATAAGAGACGCGCAAAGTGTGTATCACCATCGCTGACGAGCCAGCTGCGCTAATGTGCTAGTGCCGCTCCATGCGGTAAAAGAATGTAAACAACTTGTGTGTGTGTGTGAATATCAGTAAGTGAGTAAATTAGGTAGTGTACTTCTATACAGTATACATATGCAGTAATCATATGCTGCAGTTGTGCTGAATCATATGCTGCAGTTGGGAGCTGCAAGTACAAAGTACAACCGGGAATTGTAACTAGAAAGTCCAGCTCCCAACTCCAGTTTTTGACGTAACCGACGCCATCTTGTGTTTATATAAGGTCCGTTTTCTTCTGTTATCCGCTATCCCTTGATGTAATAAGCAACAAGGGACTTTAAAGCAGCGTGAAAAACATAATTTGAACTCGTGTCTCATGTCAGCTAAGAACAACAGGTGCGGAAAAATCGCTAATTTCAAACTTTGTATACTATCGCAGGTCGTGCTAATTAACTACTTAGAGGATGAACAAATAAACCGGATACAAGTCAACAAAGTACAATTGATCGCGTTTTATTCAAGTAGAACCGTAGACGACCAAAGTCCGTCAAAAACTTGTATCGTCTGCCAACGCCAATGCCCATGAAGAGGTTGCGAATACATGGGCGGGTGAGATTTCGACAGCTGTTCTGTATTATGTATGTACAGTAGATCAAGTTGCCACCGGTTTGGATGCAAAACCTGCGCCACGCGGTTCCCGTTGTCGCAACTGTAGAGCCCTGCGCGAGCGCCAAGCCTCGGCTCGGCTCGTGAGCGCTCGCGGCTCGCGAGCCGAATGAGCGAGCTTTTACCGCTAATGGCGCGAGCCGAGTCGTGCCGAGCGGTCGTTTATCGATGGGCGAGCGAGCCGAGCGAGCGGCAGTCAGAGGTCACGAGCGAGCTGAGCACTGCTTTCTGTCTCCTACTATTTTTTATAGAATTTCTAGCGATTTTCTTGCAAAAATGCGCGTTGGCTTCGCGCTTCGCGCGAAATAAGCTGTCCCAAACTATTTTTTAGAGAATTTCTAGCGATTTTTCCTGTCAAAATGCGCGTTGGCCTCGCGCTTCGCGCGAAATAAACTTGTTTAAATTCATGCAGCGGTGCTGCCATAAAAAAAAACTACGTTTTATAATTAATCCGCATAAAATTTTGCTCGCGAGCGGTCCGAGCAGAAAAACATGAAATTGTCTACGAGCCGAGCGATCCGAGCAATAAGAAATCTGGATACGAGCCGAGCGAGCGAGCAGACGATTCAGCACGAGCGAGCTGAGAAAAATTTTGCAATAGTTAAAATGACGCGAGCGAGCGTGAGCCAAACATTTGACGCTCGCGCAGGGCTCTAGTCGCAAGCTGGCATAAAACGTTTTTTTTTTGACAAACACTCTGGGCGGTTGGCAACAAAGCAAACTTTGCTTTGCAAGTTAGCATTTCCGAATAACAAAATGTTCAAGGACACATTGTTAAGTGGCTGCACAACACTACACGCTGCCGCGTTTCCACCAACCATTCTAATGTATCGCTTGAGCAAGCGAGCGATTACGCCACTAGGCTTTAAAAACACATGCAAATTTGGAGTTTTGACCAGCGTGAGCGATCGCAAAAGACAACGACTGCAAACTGTTTCGAGCACATTGGTGATTGTGACCTTTGCGGCCGGCAACTTGTGCATTGCCGGCCGGCAATGCATTGGAAAAAGGGCTAGCGTGTGTGATTTGGCGCCAATCACCACAACAGCTAAACCGCTCCACGCCGCTTTTCCGACACGGGCAACTGCTGGCCTGCGGCCGCACCCGAAAAGTGCATGCGCGGGCCATGCAAGAAATGCACGAGCCGCTTGACGTGCCAGACGTGTAGCAATGGCAGTGATGAAATGCTAGAACAGCGCTACGCAAAGTGCCTTATGGGAGCGCAATGAAAGTTTTGAGAAAAAATATTGCTAGCTACGCTTGTTTTTGCGTCTTTGAACTTGTAGTACGAGGACATTTGGGTGCTGTGAACATACCCTTCACGATTAGGGTGCGATGGACACCCGGGACCTAACTTTACAGAAAATTTTATTTGACAAAAATGTTACATCCAAGTATTTTCACTGTCTATTTCCGCAAATTACGATCCACAAAAAAAATATCGTATCTTCAAACCACATTTTAGAAGATCATAATGCTTCATAATCTCATGTAAGGGCGGGACGCCCCGCCCTCCTGAGTAGCTGTTCGCTGTTTCTGGGATTTCCACCCCGCACATTGCTGCGCTGTTTTGACGGACCTGCAGCACAGTTGCACTGGCTGCAGGATCCTTCCTCATTAGTCGGGTGTTGCTGCGCCACGGTGCGCATTAGATTCGGCAATAAAGCCTCATCCGGGTTCACCGCTGTTCGCTGTCGAGGATACGCGTGGCGCCCATACGGCCCCGCGTTATACTCATAATGATTTTAAGTCACAGAACACGGTTTATTCAGAGGCACTCCAAGTCTTGCACAGCGCAGCATGGTGTTTGCAATGAAGTTCTCCTCAGGATCAGTACATATCCGCTGCCGTTGCCCCTTCTGTTGAGGCACAGTTTTCTTCAGTTGCCTTCCTAGTGTCGTGCAATTAACACTATAGACCTTCTGCGGCGGAAGCCTGCGATAAAATTCCCTCTTGACAGACCTGACTGCTGCGTCCATAGCAGCATTGTGAAAAGCTCTGGCGACTAGATCCATACTCGTAGCTGATATTTGTGGACAGTTGGATTTAGTACACGCAGCAAATCAGAATAATTAGTAAAAAAAGAGAAACAAACATCACTACAACGAATCTAGAACAACAAAATACTGGTAATAACAAATAATGTACGAGTACTCGTACTGGATGCTGTGCGTTTTAAACTTGGATTTAATTTTAAAATTTTGACCGTGATGCCAGTAGCGTTGCGAGCTGCAGAGCAGTCGGATGTTCATTGCACCCTAATCGGGGAGGGTATGTTCACAGCACCCAAATGTCCTCGTAGTCATCAAAATTCATAAAACCGCGTTTTGGTAATTTTAAATTCTTGTGCTGATCAGTGGTTAATTTCTTGACCTCTGCTATACCCGTGTTTTAAAATACTTTTCCGTAGAACTATTTAATGAAGTAATTGCTTATACGTAATTTTTGTTCGCCTAATTATTACAACATTAATCATTTTTATGCTGCAGACCGTCCATGCCTCCATGGGCATTGGCGTTGGAAAACGACATTGTCACCAGTGCTGACCTATGGTCAGCACAAGCTAACCGCTGGAGGGTTAATATGTTCCATCAAACAGAAGACCGTGGCGATTGTTAACAGCGAATACTGTGGCGTAAGCGAAAGACGAGTATTTATAGACACCATGGACAATTAAGAACTGAACCTAAATCAAGCCCGCAGTGAATCGTAAAGCACAACTTCCGCAGAGCATTGTCTTTCGTATCGTCAGCCAACAAAGTGTTCCGTGTTCTGTATCTGACCGTATCGTTGTTAACAGGCCCGATCCACTGCTCTACGGAGAAAGAATCTTTTGGAATCGTAACGGTAGCGTTGTTAAAGTTCAGCTGTCCGCTTCCGTCTTGATAACCTGTACCATCATTCCGAACCAGGCCGCGAAACTGCGGCAGCCTGCGAAACTGCGGCAGCCTACGAAACTGCGGCCTGTGAAGCTGAGACAGGCTGCGAATGTGTCTATTTTAAATCGTGATCTTTTAACCTTTAAAAGGATACCTCATGGTTGTAATTCTGGTAACAGCAGGAAGCAAGTTTAATAGTAGGAAGCAAACTGTCGTCGAAAGTTAAGACTCGTAACATAAACGTAAATGTAAATTAAATGCGAGTGCACAGTATTTGGAATCGATGGTTAATAGATGTTTACTCCCATTGGATATTCATCGTCGGGCGCTACTCGTTTGGTCCCGCGTTCAGGTGAAGCTAAGCGCTTATAAGGATTTTGACTTTTCATTTGGTCAATTATTTCTGAGAGTTCCCGTTTCTTGGATGGAGGTAATGCAAAGTCCGCGTTGTAGGCACTTTCGTACACAGTGAAAATCAACCCGGCAGCGATCAATATCTGCTTGTCAATTTCAACAGGGGGGCATTTATACAGAACGTTTCCTTCTTTACCGCTGAACATAACAAAACTTTTTATAATGCCCAGGCCGACCTCTTGCATTTGTAGCGCCGCATCAGAAAACTCGGTTTCTGTCAGCCTCACAAATGCTTTTCTCGATCCATATGTGTCATTACATATACGACATGTTATAAATTCGCCCGGTGTAAGAGCAAGTGAGAAGTTTGTGGGTTTGACAGACGTTGCAGGCCGGATGTTCTCGTATTCACTGAAGGCACCTCCGCTGATATCAGCAAACTTGTATGACTTTTGCACTGTTTCCAAAGGTACTTTATCCGGAATACTGATTGCTTTGATAGTAAGCATACTCTGATAAGAGGAGCTTAATATGTGTGACAGCATTGAAACTTTTTGAATATTGTCCTCCAACTTCGAAACAAAATCCGATCTATCCATAGATGACTCACCGTTGGAAATTTTCTGGTTGTGTAGAATACGCATTCGCTTAGCGTCCGAAGATATTTTCGCAATAAATTCGAAAGCTTCTTCCGAATAAGTGAGTAATAAACCAGGATGTTTGTCGAAATATTCATGCATTTTGATAAACATTTTTTTCAAGTCAACCACCGGCTTTGGCAGACGCTGTTTTGCTTCTCTGCTTTCCGGAATATCAGTTACGATATTATCAACTGCAGTGACCAGCAACCGGTCTTCCAACCCGTTTCCGGCTGTCCAAGATTTTAGAATACTGCAGAACGGATGCGGATGCAAACTACCGAAAAACGCAGATGAACTGCGAGGCAGCTTCAACGATCCTGCTGTTTTATAGGACACATTTAAGCTTTGTCCTCCCCAGACTTTGTTCATCAGGCTTGCTGCGTTTTCCTCTGCCAGTGTTAGTGTACCGAGTGTTCCCGCTATTTCGTCAGCAATGACAGAACCAAATCTTTTGGTGTCGGCAAGAAATGTACGATAAGCTAAAACAAAATTAAAGTTTGTAATACTGCATTTACAAATGTTAGTTAAAATGATTTAATTAAAAAAATAAAAGAAAACTTTAGATCGATAAATAAAATTAAAAATAATTTTTAGTATACTATTTTTAGTATATTTTAAGTATACTATGCTAAAAATAAGTATTGTGACTAACAACTGTATGTAGATAAAAATATGTCAATATAAAATCTGTTACCTCCAAATGTATGCGGATTATCATAGAACTTCTTGTTCTTTTTTTGTGAAATTGCATCCAAAAAGTCCGTACAGTAGTCCTGCAAAGCTGTACTTTTTCCACCACCAGGATTGCAAACAATAAGCAAGTTAATGGCTGGGCATTGTTTCTTGTAGTTATCTGTTATTTGTAACAGAACTTTCTCCGCAGAAATTGTTGCTGTTGTAGCCAACAACGAACCATAAACAGCCATCTCTTTTGTTCTGTTGGTCTGAGCATGATAGACTATGCAGTTCAACAAATCACCAGACACGTAGTCTTCAACTTGGTGGCTAAAATTCTTAATGCACACTTCCTGCACGAACTTAGCCTCATGTTTCGACACGGCGGTCAACCATCCTTTCAATGAAGAGTTCATTTTCAATAATAATATTTATAACGTAAGAACAAAACTGAAAAATTTGTTATTTTGGAAAAACCTTTTAACTGGCGCACTGTAACTGATGCAACCGCAAACAGGGAAACAGGCGACGGTTTAATGCATTTCTGACTGCTGGTTGTTTCCTTCGGACTTGCAAGATAACTGCAGCTCTTGCGTTTCGATCAGTTATTGTTTTAACCAAACCAACTTCAAAATTTAGGAGAACAAGCTGCTTTCTGTGACAACTTTTGTCGGTGTCAAGAGATTTCAGTACATGCGGAAACACGCTTATGAAACATTATAAGTTCACTTTGAGTAAGTGATAAGAATGCAAAATCGTTTTTGTACGTTTTACTCCATAACCGCCGCTTGAAGTTTCTCTGGTGCTCGGGAACCGGTAATTACAATTTTGCCTTGACCGGTTTCAAATTAAAAGCCATATTCTATAGAAAATTTGCTGAATTTCTGATCCTGTATCTTTGTGCATGCATATAGGGCTTTTGCGTTAAATGTAATTGCTAATATCCTTACAAAGTCCATGCATGGGAGATTCAGCAAAATTGAATGAGTCGATTGCACTCAAAGCTAGCGTTCAGGTCGATATAGTCTGGAACACAACCAGCGGTCAGCGGCTTACTTAAGTAACTAAACCAACAACTGTGGATGGTTGCACAGTTACAATGCCAGCAATGCTAACCTATCCTCTTATAAGGTATTAACCGTTCAAAAACAAGCCGTATATACTTACAGTCTTTGTATTTTAACGTATAGAGTATCTTTATGTAATCTGCAGGGTTTTGCCCTCCGGAAAATACTGAACAACTCCCCTAAAATGGGCGAATCAATGGCGTGTAACATTTTGGTTACAGATCTCCATAGACAAACATAAAACTAGCCGTTAACACTATTCCTATGCGAAGACTAGTCTTCTTCTTTCATAGTGTTAAGTCTGCATCTGTGTGCAGCCGACGGAAAAAGCAATTCACGCAGTTCTACTTAATAAAGCCGTGTACGAAGGAAAAAAGCTACCTAGCACGACAAGATTCCAAAAAGGTTAGCCAGTCCCAGTCGCTCAGGGACGTCATGAATTTTTAATTTCCGAAAAAAAAAGGTATCGCAGGCAGCACGCTTATGAAATTTTGATGTAAAGTTTTTTCTGACCCGTTTTAGCAAGGCAGCCACGCTTTCCTGTAGGTCAATCACGTGACCGCGCTGCAGCAGTCCATCATCCCCACCACATCCACCGCATTCCATGCGTTCACCCGTCGACTGCCGTCTTCGTACCAATGCAGCATGCCAGTGTCGGATTTTCTGGTAATTGTAAAACAATATAGTTTACATGTTCTGTTATGCCTTGAATCTTCCGTTAAAACGTCGGCACAGCTATTGAGCTGCGACTCTTTAGTAGTGAAAATATTCCTGCTGCGATAGACGAGTAGATAGGTGAATTTTGCCACCAACAGCCTAGTGTGGCTTACCTTCTGCTGTTGGTTTACTTAAGTTGACTGATATCGTTTGGTAAACTGTGAAAGAGCGATTTCAGATGGCCTGTAACTCGGTTAATAGTCCGGTTTCCGCACCTTATCTGCTTGTCAACTAGATTAATACACTTTGCCAGCTATGTAGTCGTGGAAGTCTGAAAGATTCTCATGGTCACAGTTTGCTTTTGTAGCAACTAGGATTTTTGCAGCAAACGTCCAAGATCGGATAACAGGCTAACACAAAGGACATCCCAAAATTAATATCCCTAATGTAATGTGGTGCGGAAACAGTGTGAAAGCTTATCACACATTGCAAATTTCAATATCATTGCTTTTAAAAATTTAAAGTGTAAAAATCGATCCAGGGGTGGTGGGGCGGTGTCGCCCCTGAAAGTTTTCTGCTATAACTATTAAAGCCTACATCATATCAGAAAACGGTATATTTAACAAGCCGGATCACTCAATAAATTAATGAAAATCTTTCGGTGTCAGGAATCTGTATTCTGTAGTATTCTTTAATACATTTCTTAGCTTTTCTTGAATTTGTTACACGCACCATAAAAAACTTATCAGTGTCACTGTGTGAGTGTTGCTATTTTGTAAATTAGCGGTGCAGCTTCCACTCTGAACAGATACATATCAGATTCTCTCTTTTTTTTGCGTTCATTCCAATTTTATTTTTCAAAGTAGGATTAAAAAGGAATATGGGAAGCAGGATCGGTGCACCGACGACGTTACTGCGCATAAATTGCAATTAAAAGCTGTTGTTCTTTACTTTCTTCTTGTGGTGAACGAGCGCTGAGGAAGTGACAAGTAACACCATATGGGTGTATAGTCATACTTCTATCAGCAGAATCGGAGCTCTCTTCTCACTGGTTCTGAGGATTCGCTTAATTTCGCTATAATTCTTGATTACTGTGGCGAATGATGACACCAAAGTAATCGATCAATCTACCAAAGCGGCGGGTGGGTCATATGTTTTCAGCGATTTAACTGGAACTGGTGGTTGCAGTTGTTAGCCGGTATCCGCAACCTGCAACGCTTCGGAGTACACAATTTTGGCAGCCGTATATATACAAGGCAATGATATTTTTGGTAAGCCCAGCTTGCTGGAATGTTTCAAGCAATATTATCACTCGTTGTTCTCCAAGAGTACCCGTAAGTACAGTTCGACAGACCGGCAATAAGCAGGAACTCATTTTTTTTCTTGCGCGAGAGAAATATTGACTGGCCGCTTCCGGCCGAGCCTAGGGCTTGTGTGAGTTTGATCTGCAGGTTGGTGTTTATGGTTTTTGGTTTTCGGTTTCTTACTGTAATTAGTGGGTTTATTCCTCGATCAATGATAATTTGTTGGTTTTATGAACCTGCAGTTAGTAGTGAGGTATCGTCCATCGCTGTTTTTACTGCCCATAAATAAAGATATTGTACACGATTGTGTTCCTTAACGAAATGTACAAGTTGCAGTATATGTGTAACAGTACGTTATGGATCAGTTTAAGCAACTTTTACGATCAATAATATTGCTATTGCTATAGGTACATACATATTGCTATAGGTACGACCTATAAGAGTACCTAGTATGCTTCATCATTTCATCGCGTTATGGCTAGTTTTCTCTGCTTCGAATTCCTTATTTCTCTATTTGATTGTGGCAAGTTTGTATCCCACAGTCGAAATACATATACGGTACGAGTATTCAAAGTAAAGTTTGTGGTATCTGTTGGTGGCAGTACGGATACAGATTCCAGTACAAGCGAGTGCATTTTTTATTTCGTATATTATTCGAGTACATACGAGAGGCAACCGATCGGTTTATAACAGATATAATTACTTCTTAAGTACTGGGGGTATAAGGTATTGGTAATTTGGTGGCACTACCGGGTGCCGTTGCTGCAACTCAGGTAACGAATGTAGGGTACCTTTTATGTACCTAATTCGTTGCAATTGGCACTATCCTATATAGGGGGAATTCAACTGCTGAGGCTAGCACTCCTTGTACTTGCTGCGGTCACCCGGCTGGAGTTTTACGTTGTGGCTAAACATGGTGCTTATGTACCGCGCCCGATTTAACCGTATGTACTGTATTGCCGTATCGTCACACTCCAGGCGAGTGACGGCATCAAGTGCAGGGAGTGCTGGCCTCAGCAGGTAAATTCCCCTTATATCTTAGAACATTGTCACATTAAAAAAACAATAACTGCCAAAATCGTAAAGACAGTAGTAATCGCAAAATTTTAATAAATAGTAAGATGTGTGTATACACATTATTCTGCAAGCAAGAGTTATGTACCAACGTTCTTCGAATTCCAAATTAACAAACCCGTGAATAAACGGTCTTTGTGTTCCAGCTACCCTTGATTGAAACTTCCTCTTTCAAAGTATCCCGAATTCTGCTATAAGACTTCATCCCTCGACATTGCGGATATCGGTCTCGAAGCCGCTGCACAAGCTTACGGTTGGCTTTTCGTATCTCGATGTACCTAACCAGGTACACGATTGTCAATATCAGTAGGATTATCACAACCCCAACGGCCACCCAGAGCACCATATCCATTAGCAGAGTGCCCTGTTGCTTTTCTCCGGACAAGAAGGACAACGTTGATGCTGGCAGTAAAGAACCGATAGCCGCTGGCGTGCTGCGGACATAAACTTCAAGTTGTTCTCTGGGCTCTTGCCTTTGAGTGCGTGTAGATAAAAATCCACCTTGGTCGTCCCCAGTGTCGTCGCTGTTGATCCATGCATTTTTTGATACTATGTTATTATTCCCAATTGTGCAGAATCGTCGGGACGAACATCTGTAAAATCTATAAAGTAATATCCATTTACTGTAAAATCCATAAAACAATATCCATTTGCTAAGTGGAGGAATACGGCCTTCCCTTTTTCTATCAAGAAATATTGATATTTGCACAACACACCCGGACAACGGAGAGTGTGGCATTTTGTCGCGCTATGAACTCTACGTAGACTTATTGGTCCCACAGTCCCCCACCCACTGCGGGCGCTTTGATAGCTCGTATTACGACAAATTAGTTTAAGACTGCTTGACTTAGCAACAGTTCGCCGGGCATTGCTTCTGGTCGCACATAATCCGTCTTGGAACTTGGTCATGCGACAAATCTGCGCAAAGGCTGTCCACCCGCTGAGATTTCTCAGTCCTATTCGGTGAATTCGGTTACTTTTATCTTGGACTACTTAGTTTTGTTGTTTCTTGGGAATTTTGGCTTTACAGTTTTCTTAACTTTTTGCAGTTTTTTCGGTTTTGTAGCTGCTTTAGTTAGCGTCTTCTGTCAATAAATTTTTCAGGCTTTCTTTTGTACTCATCCTGTTTCTGTGACTTCTTATTTTTTGACGAGCAGCATGCGTCCCCATAAATACGACCGACTATTTGCCGCAATGAGTCGAGGACGAAGTGTTTTCCGGCATAATGTCCCACCGACCAAATGCCGCAGGACGAATTAAATTTGCGGTGGAGTGTCAGCGACCAAATGTGCTGTTATTAGTTGTCCTCGGCGAAATGTGGTGGTGCCGATCTGTACCGCGATACCGCCAGTTTTCGCCGGGGACAACATGGATCGTACGCCAGCTTTTTTCACGCGTTGAATGGAACCAGTTAACCCAGAATTTAAAGATAGATCATCAACTTACGTATCCGTGTACAATTCCGCTTTCAAGCGCAACCATTACCCAAGCTACACACGTGCACCGATTACCATTCTTTTTCTGCTGGGGCGAAGACACACACACGAAGACACTCAAAATTTGGAGATTTGTTTTTTCACACGATGCCACTTCACCAGATTTTCATGCAACAACATTGACACAGCTCTTTCAGTTAAAAAACACTCTCAATTTCACTTCGACGTTCAGATTCTATTATGGCTCACAAATATATTTCGGTAATTCGAAAGTATGCCACCTACTACTATATAGGTAATAATATAGACATTTCGTTTACTTGCAGAATACGTTTTGATATTTTAGTTACCTGGTTTTAAAATTTCATAGGAAGCAGAAATACCAGGATTTCACAGTAAAATCTTCGCTTATAATTTCGAAGCATTAACTTTAAAAATTTCCACAAAACACCAATGAAGAAGAGGAACTTGACCGGGTGAAATGTAAAAGAACCGCTCTTTTACGTTTGCAGATTTCTTAAATTTTGAACCCCACATTCTCAGTTCTATTTCGATGGCAAAAAACCAGTGAGGAACATATCAAAACACACGTTGCGCGATCAGCAGCTATTTAGATAGCGCGCCAATTGGTGACGGTGTAACTGACCGGTTACCAAAATATGAAGCCGCATATTTAAAGTTACCGAATTATGAGAAAACTCCTAGTTCTCGTTTTATGGTTCGTAGATAATTTTGTTCGCTGTCTTGTGGACGGTTTTAATGCGTTTCGCAGCATCGGTTACACAGAGCAGTTGACCCCTACCACCAACTACCTTGTTCAAAACCAGAAGAGACCGTAGAATATATAGAATATTTATACTTTTCCCCTGGCTTTTACACTTCCATTACCGTATGACCGGTAACTAGTAAGTAATCACGATAGCTTGTATTACTGTGTACAAACCTGTTTGTGGAGGGACACCATCCACACTGGCTGGGATGGGATCCTAGACATTCGATGCGGTTCTTGAAACGGACGCACTTGTCGAGACTGACCAGGGCGATCTGCAACCGGGTTCTTTGTGAAAGTTGTCAATCTCCTCGACAATGATGACAATTGCATCTGTATGTTTAATTTTGCACCGGTATGGTCAGCACGTAAGATTTTATTACGTCGTACAAAGTAGATAATCTGTTTTACGAAAGTTACCATAGAATCCGTAGAGACGTACACCTGACTGAAGTTGCCGTTCGGCTTCAGATCCACTATCAGCGGCGAATCCTTTACGGTTAAAAATGTATCGTCTTGGAATCCAAAACCATAATCTAATATTTCTTCCGGTGGAATAGGGTTATTCGTTAAGGGCAAACATAACTAATAAAAAGACGCAGCAGGTTTTAATGCGAATTTCAGATGTCACAAAAGCAACAGGTGGAAAACTCAGGATTTTATGCGGCAGCAAAGTTCACAATAACGTTACTGTGTTTTTCAGTTTTAAGAAGAAATGTTATCATCGTTTCTGTAAATATTCTGTTCAGGAAGGCCTGCGTTCGGACATGGACCGGGGCTTACCTTCACTAGCACAACACATAACATCATGAACCGTACTTGTAGGTATCACGCTAGATTACAGTAATATCTGTTATTGAATCACTGACCATCAGAATCTGGTTTTGTGCGAGCACTAACAAAACCTCCATTCCTTCAAAGCCAGTTTTGTACAGTTTCCTGGCCGCCGTGTGAAGAATCCGAGAAGCTGCGGATTGTTTCCAGGACTTGCAAAAGCAACGACATTGAAATGGTCGTAATTTGCAATAGAAATCGCAGTCATTTCTTACTTCATTAATGTTCGTGCTGTCGCTCCCCCACTGGTACTCGCACACGACAGACAGGTCTGCATGATTCGTAAAAAGGATAAATAGCGAGCTCGGGTTGCCGCTCGCAGTGTACAATACGGATTTTGGCTCATAGAACGGAATCGGCTTATTCCTGTCGTAGGATTTGCTTACGCAATTTACGGTGCGAATAAATTGTCGGTCACAGAGCTCCGTTGAATTCTTGTACCAAATCTGGGCTTCATTAACTTGATTACGAATTAAGTAGAAGGTGGTAGCCTTCGTAACGAAAGTGTAAATAATTTCCTTCCAGGCGTTATGCGGACAGTTCAACAGCACTGCAGTAGAATTATTTGGCGGAAGCGTCGACTGCATCCGATCAAACGCTGCACGAACAGAAGTATTCACACTCTCAAGGCATTCGTATCCAAACATTTGTGAATTTATTGTAAAACTTTCTGGTACCACAAACTCCTGCAATTAATATTAATTTTATTACTTATAAACGTATCATGAGCATTTTTCAAACTGTGACTTACTTTGTTCCCCAGCGTCCAGTAAAGTATTATGCCTATAACGGCCGATCTAGCATTCTGTTTTACACACAAGGGCTGATTTTTAGCGGCTACGCACGTCAGTACATAATAAGAGTACAAGCTTGTCGACAAATTGAGCATTCGTAAGAACAGCGAACATTACAAATTTACGGGTTGCGCGTAAATCCGTACTACGGCGCGCCACGCCACACTAACATGCATTTGGCTGGCTGGTGGCTTGGTACGCGCCAGATATTTTAATGGGAATAATTGTAACTGTCTGGCGGAATGTTGCTAAAAACGCCTGGTGCAGTAAGGCGCAATCTGACTGCGAGGCTCGCACAGTTTGTTCAGTAACGTTAAAACGTATGATGCGCCCGATGCGGTACACTGTCCATAGGCTACTGGTTTACAGCATAGTGTAGAATTTAGAATTTTTACTAAACAGTGTAGAATTTATTTTTTTGTTCTGGCCCCGCCCATTCATGACAGCAGCTGAAAAGAATTTTTTTGCTCATTCCATTCTTCCTCTATCTTCTGCAAAAGATCAAGTTTCTCTGAATTTATAGCCGGTGACGATGCCCTGGTTAGAGGTAACCTGCTAAACTTAAAAACGTATAAAGCTTTAAATTTACGGGTCACCGAAGCGGTCATTTTTCTTTGCATATACTGTATAGTGTATATGCACTACTGTACTGTCTTTTACGTATAGGTCTGGGTCTCCTCTTTTCCTGATACAGCAAAGTGAAAAGTACGGCAGAAGAGTTAGTAACAAACCTTTTCTGGCACCGTGGTCAACACTTGAAGGCTTGAATTTATCACCCAGATTCTGCCGCCGGTTTTGGCGTACAAATTGCCATTGGCGGCATTACGGACAAAGCAGTCGATTTTAACGGGGAAATGCACGGACTGCATAACATATCCATCAGCCGCACAATTTATCGTTGTACCCACTCTTATGGTATAAAGCACGACCCACCACGTCGGCGTCCACAGTGTTCCCATTGAAACCAACTGAGAACTAAATTCGTACGCAAATAATTTCGTTTTGATCTTGAAATCACTGGGGTGGAGCGCTGAATCAATACAATTTAAGCGCATAGAATTTTGACACAAAAACTTCGGTACACTCATTGTATAAATAACGTAATATAAATATACGTGTGGCGTATGCAAAATATTTAACAGAAAACGCAGCAGTGGGCATCAGTGTTATTTAAATAGGACACCAATCGAACACAAGTGAGATAATCTCATAATCAGTTTGAGCTCTGCATAATAAACTGCATAATTCTCTGCCTTATTTAATTGAGGTTTGGTTCGCTTTTGCGTTCGCCGTCCTCGTTGCATTGACCCTGACAAGAAGGCAGCTTTGACTGTTAATCAAGCAATGTAATATTGTCAGAACCATTAGATTAAGGGATTTGGCCCGGTACATGGCACTAAATTCGTGTATATTGGCGGGACCTTTCGCTGTCGCGCACTCCCAAACACTTTTTTGCATTGCTTTATGGTATTTTGTAGCCAGAAGAATTGTATACTCAGGTGAGAAAACTGTTTGCGCGCGCAACGTCCGGTTGCGGAGTTATGAGGGCAACAAAATTCCAAAAAGTTTAAATGCATTCAGGTGTACCAAAAGTCTCATTATGGACCGACCCCTTTCAAATTTTGCACGTAAATGCACATAACCATAAAGATTGTTTTGGTACGGATCCAGACTTCTATAATTTTTTTCGAATTTTAAAATTCATTTTAAAATCTAAAAAAAATCCTAGAAGTCTGGTTCCGTACCAAAACAATCTTCATGGTTATGTGCATTTACGTGCAAAATTTGAAAGGGATCGGTCCATAATGAGACTTTTGGTACACCTGAATGCATTTAAACTTTTGAATTTTGTTACCTCATAACTCCGCAACCGGATGTTGCGCGCAAACGGATTTCACAACTACGTGTACAATTCTTTGGCTACAAAATACCATAAAAAAATAGAGCGCGCGACAGCGAAGGTTCCCGTGGATGTACACGAATTTGGTGCTATGTACCGGGCCAAATCCCTTAAACAGTGAGTGGTTTAAGATATTTAACAGATAATTATGACAGTAAAATATGCTGGTGTAAACCGTATCAGAACCAGGCGCTTCAGTACAGTTCTATATTTCACGGTTAAAATGCCGAGTGATGGCAAACTACTGTACTTGAAAGACAAATTCGTTAATAGTTAGGCTCAAAATTTAGTCATGAAGATTTCAGCGAAAGAAATCTGTGACACACGCTAGAAAAAATCGTACTTCGAACCTCAAATAACTGAATGGCAATAATGCATCACATATCTTCATCGAGCGAACAATTTTGGGAGCGCAAAAACGTGCGACCTTTTGCTTTTAATACGGTGTGCTTTCATTCTAGTCTGTAACTTTACTTTGCAGTTTGCCCCTTGCTGCTGCCTATTATATACATATTGCCTACCGAATTCAGTGTTTCGAATTAATTAAAAAAGTTACTATAATTAACGATTAATGTAAAATAGTTAATTAACGCTACCAGTTGCAAGCTAATGAACGCCAGCCGGTCAGAGAACTGATTATTACTCTTTACCCCATTTATCCGCCAAATTTTTAATTCTAATGACCCGAAATTAATTAAGTAGTTTAAATTAGACATTTTAAGACGTCGTGGTAACTTAAAATTTCTTTTAGAGACATGTGCGCCCTAAGCGCACTTTCTGGTTTACGCTACCAGAACGTTTGGATAAGCAATTAACACTAATTATAATGTTGTTGATTAGTTGTTAAGATTGTGCACGTAGCAGTGTTGATAATACCCGATAGGCGTTAGCAGTACTTATTAAAGGATTGTTATTGAAGTGTACAGTTACGGTATAGCGCAGTGAAATGTAAGCAATAAATTCTGTGCATATGAGTTTGTACTTTGTATGAGAATTAATACGACTTTGACGCTCGAATATGCTACTCTCGAGTATGTAGCTTTTTCTAAAGCAACGCTTATGAATATTTGGGGCGTGGATACAAACGTGCAAAAGACACATCATTGCAATATGGACCAGTTATGAGCGCTTATCTTATCTCCTGCGTTACTCAGCTTTTGCAGAATTCCTAAATTTGCGGTCTATTTTGAACCGGACTAACATGTATATGGCAGATGCTCGTACAACCTACAGTATTGTCGCTTGTACACGGTATAGACAGAGCACTCGTATCGTATGCTTTTTGCAATTACAGTATTGTAATAGCGCTGCATTTGGACGGCTTACGTATTGTACAGTCATCTATAATGAGTTGTAAAAGCGATTAAGATACCGCAAAGGGCCAATTTTGGCTGTCTGCTTGTTGGAAGATACTGTATGCCTTACTTATTAACTATTGTTAACCATGTTTCTCGGATCGATAACGATACGGAAATTCAATTCTGTGCAAACTGCAATCAAGTAATGATATCATAGTTATCTTAATATTGCTGGGGGATTGATCAAAGTCGAACTTACTTACACTTGAAAGTTACATTTACCACACAGACGATGTTGTTGCATAGTTTGTCTGTATTATCTAGCTAAGAAACAAGAAATCCGTAGCAATAGGTTGTCTAAAATGTTGTTACGTGAATGTTGTGCAATATTTCTTCACATTTCTTTAAAGTAATATTTGCGGTTAGCACTATTATTATAACACCGCAGTGCTATAATAGTACGTCTATTATTATAGCACTGCCAGCACAGATCAATTGACAGCCGCGCTTGTTTACCGCTGTGGCTTGAATGATGTCACGACTTAATGTTTTTATGATTGCGGGAGTAATGGGATCCGTTAATGGAAGATGGACTGATGCCAGCGCCGGTACCACTGCCTGCAACAGCCGGGCTGTTGATATTAATGCAGTGCACAAAGAATGTGTGGAAGCCAAACATATTGCCATGTGGTGCCCCGATCCATCTGTGCCGATACGCCCCCCGTCCGCCGATTTTGTCAAAACTTTTCGAGGGACAAAAAACCCACGGGACCGTCTGAGTTCAAATAGACCAGAATATCTGATAACCAAAAAATATGTAGAGGGCAAAAACGGCCAGTGCGAGCTAACGCGGGACATCGAACAAAATAACGTATCTATCAGAGGGGCATTCATCGAGTTAAAAGAAGCTAACAATGGAATGTATTGCTGTTATGATGCAGGAAAAGATAAATATGGTAGCTGTTGGAATATTAATGTTACAGCGGAGAGCTGCACCGATATCACGCCAGCGACCACAAATCTTATCCCACCAGCGCAGAGCTCCTACTTTACCGGCATCACGAAGGTACCCACTATTGCAACAACGGAAAATCTGGGCGTTGATATGGACACTCATAACGCCCGAAACGATCTCTCAACACGAGATAATTTTCGTAAGCGCTGCAGAATTTTATAAATTTTTATTGCCTGTTACAAGAATCTCGACACTGAAGGGTCTTTAATGTTGTCTAATTGGTTCCAAACGATCATGTTCTGGTAGGATCATGTCACTTACTACCTGTAAATCGTGTTGTAACTTATAGGCTTCCTTACAGTTGCGTAATGCGTACTACGGATGTTTTTGTAGCAGCAACCACGGATTCGGTCACTAAAGCATCCGCATTAACCGCATGTGAAGAGCGCATCGCGGAATACGAATGGCGCGCCAGAAATCTAAAGACTGCGTTGGGCATAGTTGTAGGGCTCGTACTCTTGGTGTTCGTGTTGGCCGCCATAGCTTGGTTCTACAAGAAACGCCAACCTGATGGAGTAACAAGCGATACTACGAGTCCGAATCATACTACTTCGAATCAAAAGGAAAAGAAATACCATACGATTAAGGATGCGAGCAGTACAAAACAAAGATCTAGTAGCACTCCAGAAAGCCACGAGTTGAAGCAGCTTACGAGTAAGTATCACACAAGGGAGCCGCCGAGATGATGTCAAGAAGCGCTACTGTCAGATTCAGTAAAGCATCAAATGAGAGCAGCACTTTCAAACAATCGCGGCCCATCGAACCAATCCCCATCTTGAAAGAGTAAAATTCCACGCACAAGCAAAATTGGCAGCTTAGAAAAGATCAGTTCCAGTAGTATCTCGAATAGTGTGATAGAATGCGGAATATTGATTTTTTTATTGTGTTCAATAATTTTATTATTTCCTTCTCTTCGCTTTCTCTGCAACAGGGCTTTGCAGTTTATTTAAATGACAAATATGACAGTCAAAATTATGACAAGATTTTTTTCATCTTCGGGACCTTTAAATGTGTAACGGTGGTGGTGAACACTGGACAATACCGAACATTAAGTAACGGAATTGTACCGAAGGACATACAGCTTTGCTTTTGCTCATAGGTTACGCATACCTATTGTTTTCTATCTCGATTGGCATGGTATATATATATTCGTGGGAAATACTCGTACATTTACTGTTACATTTTTGCTAGAATGCTCACGTCATCGTTGAATGGGATCTTTACGACAATGCATAACTGTAATGGATGTCATAATACTTTGTATATTATGTAGTGCTTTTGCAGTTATTCGCCAGTAAGCCGGCTACTGCAAACCAGATGATATCTCTTCATTCCGCCCTTGTTTAAAATATGTTACGATTGTCGGTACCAATTATTACTGTGATGAGCAAGATACAGAGGATGTAGGAACCGCAAGGGAACGTCTTCCGCTTAACTGCACAATAGAGATCTATGCGTTAATCAATGAGCTATGATCAAATACACGTGGACCAATCTAACCGACGCATGAACATACGTGGACCAATCAGAACAAGAGGGCTACTAATACAACTAGACAACTCGCGGTCAAAGCAAAATGGCAAGTCGCGGTCAAAGTTTTCTGCTGGGGGTTTCTAAGAAGTCGATACTGAGACTCGGGGTCATGACTCGAGAAGAGGAGTAGTAAGTCTAAGCCGTATCCGTAGGGGTAGACATAGTAAAGTAGTACCTGATGTGTACGTAGGAACGCCCGTACACGTCAAGTCTAATAATTTCCGTTTCCCGTAATATTGTGTTCATGCGTGCAATAGTAACAGTAATGTTGGAAAAGCTGCACCAAACTAAGTCCGCTAAAGGAAACTACCCATCACGCGTTGCTCCGAGCTTTTCAAGTCAGGACTGTTCATCCCTGCCTGGACTGTCTGCTTTATTAAAACTTTATGGAAACATTCTGCTAGTTGTATTTCTATGGCAGCCCTTTATCGGCTACGATTGAAACCTTCAAATTATCGGGAATTCCTATTTGCTTGTCTATCTTCAGTCCGCGATTGAGGATTACTGGTATTCTGGTTGTGCCACACCTGGGCTGGCGACATGGTCGCTCCGTACTGTTGACGGTAGCGTTATGTACCCAGTTGGCCGAACCTGTGGATAACATGAGCGGGAATTCGAGCAGTATTGTTAACGCCACGGTGTGAATTGGTCAGCTGCTGAACAACAAAACGTATGGTAAGAAAGGAAAGTTCAAAACAATGATCAATATTAAACGATACTGTAGCAAATGTAACCGGTTATGGGCAGAAAAAAGTGAATCAAATGACTGTGTGAAGAGGTTACAAAGTGATATTTGGTTGTTCTCGTCTGAAATGCCGAATACAGATATATACTTTCCGTCGGGATGTTATTTCCGTTACATTTGGCACACAAAACGTTCTTGGAAAGTTTTTTCAGGTCACATAATACAGCAGAGTATTGTTGTCAACATTTGTCGTGCTTGCAGGTGTTGCGGCGGGTCACCCGGCCATCCGAAGGCGTTACAGAAAGAATTAATGCCACCTTCCTTCAGTGGAACATGGAAGCCGAAAAGTAGCGTCATATGATCAGCAACATGCTGAAGGCCATGTCCAAAAACATAGAGGGAAAAAATGACACACCAAACTATCAAACTATGATTGAGTACTATCAAATCCCGCTTACAGGCGGTGCGATTGCACAGTACAAGCAGCATTCGTCTTGTAGCGGGTACCTCGAGCTCAGCGCAGCCTTTGGAAAACCAACTCGTCAATTATGCGTCTAATTTTACTGGCACCTACGGGAGACTTCGCGATAACCCGGAGCAGGTGTTCCAGAAATCCAGAATGTCCAAAAAGTTGCAACTAACATAACCGCGAATTTCGATAAACTAAAGGATGTCACGCGATATTTGCATTGCATGCTGAAAAGCATCAAGGACTTTCAAGCAGTAACCGGTGCGATCGAATACATCACGGATTTTGCCCTTCTTCTTCTGTATTTTAAATGCTGGAGATGCATTGACCAGTATTTAACACCCAACAAGTTTGAAAACGTCTACATAACGCAAAATGTATGAACGGAGAATTACAAAAACAAGCGGAATGCAAAGAAATGGCGCGAAAGGGCAAATTAACGAAGAAACAAACAGTTAAACGGTTTGGTTGATATTACATCACCGCGCTTATTCCAGTAGGAACGCGCTGGTATATTGGAACTGGGAGTTTATGCTGTAATGACAGTAACTGTATTTCTGTGCAACTTTATGTGGGAATTGTTAATTAGGTTGATGCAGTATTCGTCGAAAGCCGGCGGTTGCGCAACCGAAAAGGAAGGACTGCAAGTTTCACTGAAAGGAAAAGGAGTAATGGCGGAAAGAGTATTTCCAAAGCTTTACGACGCATTACCAAGCACTTCGTACAAGCCCAGTACTGACATGAAGAACTACGCACCGGTGCCCATCATCAGCTGGAAGGTCACGATTGTTACATTCCTGCTTGCATCCTCCTCTCGGTTATGGTTCTTCTGGTCTTGGAAGAATATTGTCTAAAATTTCGGGGGATGATGTTAATGCATGAACGGAGATATCATACTGCCAGCAATTTAAACTGCTCATATTATCTTATACTTTCGACAAAGGTCAGCACCATTCTTTTTAGCAACGACTACGAATTCGCCCAGTAATGTGACTGTAAGCATTGATTATCGTTGGGGCAGCACAACTTCGGTTACGAGCGGAATACTTTCATCAGTTTCATGCATCGCTCGCTGCACTGTAAACCACCCTTGTGCTGAAAAGTTATTGTAAGTTGCCAGTATGCCTGCTGGCATTGGTGTTACGGCGCTCTTTTCCGTATCTTGTGTGTGCTTCGTGTTTGGTCAGAGAGTACATCCAGAAAGAAAACAGCGAAAAGTTAAGTGAGCCGTTTGATGGCAACGATTGGACTATCGCGATATCGGCGGACGACCGGGTAATCTGACCCTCCGAATTGAATTGAATGAGAATGCTGCAGCATACTCTTTGTTACAGACCAAAACGATTCCAATGCAGAGCAATGGCAGTCATTGCGATGTTTTTTATGCTGAAGTTTGCGGATTATGTTGTTGCGGATTATTAAACGTCGCCCTTGCACAGATACAAGACCCAGTTTAATTTTCAAAAGAGCACACCAGACTTTCGCCGGCGTATGTGCTTGGGAGATCCTGCATCAAGAACTCATGGGAGCGTGAGATTGTCGGTGCACTGGAAATGTCATTAACGCAGGACGAATCTTCCTGTTGCATGGAGTGAACGCGCGTGTGCATTTACAGATCAAAATTCTATGGAACGCCCGTTTTAATCATGTCGAATGGATAGCGCGAGAATTTGTTAGAATGATCTAGAGGCATATTTGGGGGATGTGGAATACCGTCACTAACTCTGTTGTCTGAGAGCATTTAAACTGAAGGTCCGATGTCCCTAGTTCTGCGGACAAAAAAGAAATATAAAACTGTTTAACTTAAACCTTTCACTCGATTCCTTAACCTGCAATACCTTTCACTGGTATCGAACCTGCAATACCTTTCACTCTTCAGTATAATGATCCTGATTCGCTAGTCCTTTTAAGACGCAATCGCCGTAAAGTTATTGCAAACAACAAATCCAGTCACAAGCTTTAAGAGGTTTTTGAAAATCCTATAGCCGTTTCTTTTTAAAATGAGGAAAAAAATACGATGATTCAGCCGCAGGCTGTCGCGTTAATGCTGAAACTCTGTTCCGCTACATAATTGCATTTCTATGTGCTATGTTAGTACATACTAAAAACTACGAAAGAAGTGAACTGCACGTATGTACAACTGGGGAGAATGGAGAATGACATCTGAAGCGCAGCAGTGTATAATTACGGTAAATAAATTTTTGGAAGGCCGAGCGGGTTGTTTGTAGGCTGTCCCTTGTCAGCAACGCGCCAGGATCGACAGGCGGCTTCGGACCATCCCACCAGACTGAGGGAGATGGTACGCAACAACTTCTCGAATCGACTAGCAGCCTCGGATGCCTTTCCTTCTCTCTCTAGTGCCATCTCGGCCAGCACGATGCAGGATTCGTAAACGGCGAAAGCGAGCTAAAAGACAATAAAATTAATGACTTTGTAAAAATTTGTTCAAAATCTATGAAGCCTTACTACTTACGGCCGACGCGAAGAGTCGCCAAACGAAACCGCGATGCCGCCTAACGTTAAAGCGGAGGGCGAACGCCATTTACAATTTGCTGAACATGAGGCGCCTGTCATGTTTGGCTGTCGAAGCTGCGTACGAGCGGCAGTATAGCGTCCATCTGAGAAAGGGTTCAGAAAACGTCACCGTAAAAATCGAGTAACAATTTAGTTGCTTGTCTCAGGTTACTCTTTTACCAGTCGGGCTTATTGAATTAACACAGCTGCCCTTCGAGTTCAGGTTAACCGTTTCGTGGTGTCGCTGCATGGATACAGAAGTCGACGTGTTGCTTTTATTTGGTAACCCTTTGAAAAAACTTTGAAAATGCGCGAATAGAACATTATATAGACAGTAACCTCAAAGAAACGGCGTGGTATTAGTCCAACAGGTAAATCTCGGCAGTTGTACAAATAATCACGACTTCTTCCGGGCCGGTTTAGAAGTGGTACGTGTGCAAGTGAACATAAAGAATTATAAACTTGCCAGGTGTACACCCTGCTTTTACATTCACAGGTATTGTATTTTGAGGACAATAAAACCTGCACTGCTAAATCATCAAATGTGCCCGGCGAGCTTGACACATCTGTAACAAACTATTCGCAGATTCAAGCATAATTGAAGATAGCTTTACCCGGAGGTGATATGTACTGATCTACATCACTATCCACTAAACTGCACCTTTAATAAGTATCACGATACGAGTACAAACTATGCACCAGAACAAAACCGAATTTACAAAAGAAACACTTCCTCTATGCAATCCTGATCAGGGATCGTACCCATTACACAAATCGCGTTTCCCCGTTGTATTTGCATAGATATTCGCTGTTTAAAAAGCTCTTTCGCTTATCTTCATTAAGATTCAGGAAAAACAGTGATGCCGATAATCG